ATTTCTCCCCGAATCAATACTTCAAAACCTAATTACCCACAGACAATGGTTTTAATTGGTTTTAGTTGGTTTATTATTAACCAAACATCTTAAAACCATGTAAACCAAATCAAAATCCAATTAAATCCCCACCTGAATTATCGTAAACATTCTTATGTATTAATTCTAATGGATTTATTTTACAACAGAAGAAGATTTTGTTTTATTTAATTGGATTTTGGTTTGGTTTACTTGATTTTAAGATGTTTGGTTAAGAATAAACCAATTAAAACCATCGTCTGTGGGTAATTATGTTTTGAAGTATTGATTCGGGGAGAAATAAGTTTGCAATTTTTAATTCGGGGAGAAATAGGTTTGCAATTTTCAATTCGTGGAGATCTAGCATGAGGTCATAGTTCGGTGGGGATCTGATGATATATGATAGTTCTCATGGGTAAATAGATCGTCTACCCTCAGAAAATAGTGTAAGAAGGAGGCGACACGTATCCAAGCCGGTAAAACCGATGATACGTTCCCTTTTTTTTGTTCACTCGGGGAAAGTTGCTTCGGTTGTTGACTTCATTTGTTTAAGGCCCAAAGTGTTATTTGTGCTTGGCCCGTCCTCTCCTCTGTGTATTGACGTTTCCACTCTTTCTTCCTCCCCGAATTAGAGTTCTTCGTCAATCTTCAGCCTCGACGCCGTCGATCTTGCTTCGAATCCTGTCTGCTTGGAGATTCATCTTTCTCAGCCAGAGATGCCACACGACCAGGTCCTAGATTTATGTTTATGCTTTGAATAGATCATAAAGTTTCTATTTGTTTGTCTAAATCTTATATTTTCCGGCCTCTAGAACCATATTAATTTAGGGTGAATTTGATTTGTCTCTCTTCTTTTAACTAATTAACTTTGTATATATTCTTCATGTTTTTGAATTGACTATCAGAAGCTTAGTCAGGCGATTAAGAAGTTTTCGGATTATTGGGAGATGTGGGCTAGCTGCGAAAGTGGAGATGAAGCAGCAGAATAACTGAAACCATGAGAGGTGGAATTTCTCATCTGAAGTCTTGCGATGGAGAATGCAAAACTTTACTCGTGGAACCATCAAGGAAAAAAGTTCTGCCTTTATTTTTTTTAAGAGTGTGTTTCACTCATTATCATACGGAAACCAAGTGACTTAAGTTCTTGATGAT